AATTACATTTGATACTGACATATAATCCTAATAAAAAGTAAATAACACAGGTTCGCGTGCATGCATGCTCTATATAACAAAGACCCAATGCATTATATATATATATATATATATATATATATAAATCAAGTTTTTATCTGCCCATCTCGTTTCCCTTGTCATCCAAGTTTCAAATATTAACAAGAAAGCATTAAAAATAATAAATAAATAAATAAAAAAAGCAACTGGACAGATTTGAGCTATGAAAATACGAGGACAAAAGATTGTGTATACTAACACTTGTGAAATCGTAGAGCTAACCAATGTATTGTTCTTCAGGTTTCGGAAAAAGAAGGCCTTTTATACTAGAATCACACATGACGTGGAGACGGTATGGATATGGAAGGATCCTCGCTATACTTAAAGGACAAAATCTTTCATCATGGCATCAAACTAATTGTGTATAATTCATTTTGACTTTTGACTTGCAACGATTGGAGACTGGCTATAGCTAATTAGTGCGAGGACATTTAGGCTCTAATTACATTCAAAGACTACCTTTCATATTTCTCATTGGTCGCCTTGGCATATCACCTTCTAGAGAGAGAGAGAGAGAGAGAGCCCCTCCAAGACTTACCTTTTGACGTGTCACCATTTAAAGAGAGCCCTCAAAGACCGCCCTATATTGAGATGAGACAAGAGTTTCAAATGTCTAATCCAATGTGGCAAATACCTAGAAGTTCATACCTTTTCATATTTCTCATTGGTCACTAGCCATCTTTATTTAATCTTGCGTTGTTGGGTCATGGTCAGGTATAGATGACTAAAATGCATACAATTCTGCTTGTTAAAATAAACCATTACATTAAATAATATATATATGTTTTTTTTTCCTTTTCCCAAATATATATATATGTATGTATTCTTTTCACATGGAGAGAATAATTTTATAGACTTAAATAGTCAATGAATCGAATCTCTTCTCGTCTTCATATGCTTTAAAACAAGGTCATGATGAGACATCTCATCCCAAGGTTATCTTTTGATTGGGTAATTTGGATAGTCATCCTTTAGACCATCACAGGCAATCGCGAAATCATGAATTTATTTAGGATCTGGCTTTTCTTTTCTTTTTTTCTTGATTTCTTCTATAATATAATATATAATGATTTAAATTGTCTAGATTTTTTTTTGGCAGGGGGTAAAGCCCGAAAATAGCATAACTAAACGCAAACGAGGCTTATAGTCTAGTTAAATTTAATAATTCATTTTCCAAACACTAACACAAATAAGTACAACCAAACCCCAAAAAAAAAGGAGATTCACTATTATACCCAATATGGGGGCCCAAATTATAAAAATACCCCATATGAAATGGACTTTATAAACACACCCAAAGCACATTTACAACATAACAAATAGGCTTTAACTTCTTATAAATTACAAAACTACCATAAATTTCTTAAAATAAGCCCAATCCTAAAATCTCATAAAAATACCCAAAACACTCAATAGGGCATTAAAGTAATTTAATAATCAATATTAAATTTAATAAGACCGGTTGTCATTTTTTGAATTTTTTTGGGTTTGTTTATAGAATTTCAATGGTGTAGGGTTTATTTATAATATTAGTGCTAATAATGGGTATATCACTAAATATCTCCAAAAAAAAGAACAAAATAGTAGAACTAAAAATTGGAGCCAATTAATTAGTGAACAAACAACCAATGAATAAATATTAGAAACTTGAGAAATAAAGGTGAGGTAATACCTTAGATTGGGAAGATTCAAAGTTTGGTATCATTGATTTAATGATGTTCTAATATATTAATGTTGTATTTGAGTTTGACCAACGACAAACAATAATGGAGCAGGAAAAAAAAGTATAAGTTATGTTATTTTAATGTTCTTATGTTTTACTTTTCTTTTTAAATTCTTTTTTGGTAAGTTATGTTTGTTTGATCTTATACCTTTCCGTTGGATGAGGAAAAAAAAGAAAGTACTATGTGTGGCTATAAGGTAGTAGGCTAATATTTAATTGTACTGCATTTCTTTATACATTTAACCCTAAAGTGAAATTCAACACCAGACTAAAGCACAATACAGCCCCTTGAAAGTTCCGCCCTTAACAGGCAGTGCTATATTAAGGTAGCCCATTCTGGTTTGGGGCCTAGGGAACTCTTCCGTCAATAAGAGGAGGAGAATGCCCTTCAATTCTCATGATCAGCTCCTTGAATTTCTAGTGGCAGTGCATTATGACCAAAGAGGGGAAGAGGGGATACATTTTTAGACCAACCACTTGTTATTATTTTTTGAGATATTTAGTCACATATTCATTCTTAGCACTAATAATATAGATAAACTATACACTATTTAATTTCTATAAATAAAACCAAAAAATAACAGCTAACCTTATTAAATTATATCCATTTTTTATGTTGTAAATGGACTTTTGGTGTGTTTCTAAAATCCATTTTTATATTATATAATTTAGGGCCCTATATTGGGTATAATAGTGAATCTTCCTTAATTTTTTCCCTTCTTTATTTGGGTGCAGAAAATGGAAAATGACCTCTTGTTTTGACCAACCTTATATTAATTTCTTTTTTCCAACCTTCTAATAATTTCTTTTTTTATTTTATTTATAATTATATGCAAGAATAAGAAGGATCCGTTAACTCACTTGGATGTCCCTTCTAATAAAAGTATGACTTAATTACGTGGATGTCCCTCAAATATGAGGGATCTGTTAACTAAAGCTATATAGGAGATTGGTCTATAAGAGAAAATATATAGTTGTGCAATGGCTTTTGTAGAACTTTCTTTGCATGTGCTGTAATAATTAATGAGAAAGTTTAAGTGATATTGCAATAGAGGGTCATATATAATGTGTGTACGTGTATATATGTAATATTATAATTAATAAGGAAAACTATGAGTAATATTTATGAGAATAAATAACAGATGGCTAGAAATTAATTAATAGCACTCCTAGCTACTATTTTCTTCAATGGTAGTTAATAACAGATGTTCAACTTAAGGGCTCTTAAGTAGTAGTTCAAAAATCCAATTTGAGCTATGACTGAAACCAATTTGGCAAAAGGAGTTTGGTTTGTAGAGATATCGGATGTCTTTCTGGGTCTTAGAAGAACAACTTGGCGGTGGCTGTCGTGAAAACTAGCACATTTGTAACTTTGTCCTATTGCGGGAGCTACAACAGCATAAAAATTGAAAGAAGAAAAGTGCATTTACTCTTTGTAAACGTCTCGTGTGTTTGAGGAGGATCTTGTGCTGCTTCTATGCACTGGAATGTAATGGTGTCGGAGGTTTTTAGATGTGCTGATTTTCCGCTTTTCGATATTTATTAGGAGGACATGTGAGAGTTTTCTTCTTAATGTGTCACATCAATTTTTAGTCTCCTAGCAGGCACATGGTCATGCTTACGCCAATTTGTTTTTTTAATTTTTAATTTTATTTTAGAATTAAAAATAATGGATAGTTGTTTTTTATAAAAAGTGTGATTTTATTTTTATTTTAAAATTTTTGAAATATGAAAAAGTATAAATTTACCATATTATCTCATTTCATTAATAATTTTAATTCTTAATATTTACATTAATCAATAATATTTTTGATATTTTGAATGTTTTATCGTTTTCAACCTTTTATTTATATATTTTTTCTGGTATATAGGACAACATGTGAGAGTTTTTCTTCCTGTGCGGGTTGTGTCCGGTTTCTTCTTAATGTGTCATCGATTTTGAGTTTTTGAGTTTCTTATGTTGCGCCAGTTGGGTTGCGCCATGTAGCGTTTCTTCTCAATTTTTTTTTTTTTTTTTTTTTTTTTTTTTTAATTTTATTTTTTTTTTTATGTATGTAAGTTTTCTTTTTTTAATGTGACAACATCGATTTTTTTAATTATATTTAGATGTGGTCTTCTTAATCGTGGGCGAAGATAACTACGTCTGATTTTCCTCGTGCTTTCCAAAGGTTAATGCTTTTTAAATATTTTTTTATTTTTTATTTTTATATTTTTAAATTAATTTATAGAACAAAAGAATTTTTTATTAATTTAAACTAGGGAATACAAAGAAATAACCTTGCATCAGCAGCAATGACATCACTAAGAAAGGAAAGAAGGCTCCAAAGAAAAAATATATATTATTACCCCATATTTTGAAAGCATATATATGTTAGACCAAGTACAAGTCACAAGCAGATTGTTATTGATAAGTCAGTTGTTGATTTGAATTTGAATAGTTGATATACTAATAATGTTATTTTGTAATTGAGCTGATTCCTTGTTTATTGGAACAGCTCTTGTATTTTGAATTGTAAGTTATCAATACAGTAATATAAATACGTGCTTACACCAGAGTTACTAGTGTAGTCTTTTCTCCCATTTCCTAAGTCTTTCAATATATCCTAGGGATGTTGTCTTTGTGTCAAAAAGTAATGTAGCTTGTACATCAGATGATGTCCTAATGGATGTTTCTGTTTTCTTTGGGTCAAAAAACGAAGTAGCTATCCGTGAGATGCTGTCCTAATCCAAGCTATTATACATACTTTGCATGAATGTTCCTGTTTTCTTTGGATTACTTTAAAAAACGATATGAGATGATGTCGTAATTAATAAAAGTTATTGTGCATATTAATGGATGGATGTTCCTGTTCCTTTGGGTCAAAAGCATAAACGCACTAGCTTATAAGCGATATGAGATGATATGATAACACATGTTGTTGTAGGGGAATCTGTAGCCTGCAGGAGAGATGTACTCACAACCAACTTATAAAAAATAATATAAAAAATATGAAATAATGAGTCAAATATTAGTATTACTCATCTTCTTTTTCTGCCAAGTCAAATATTAATCATCACCAAAATCAAAATAACAAGCCGCGGAGCTGAAGTCTTGGTCGTGCATATAAAGACCTTACAGAAAACATAGACAAGATCTGAAACAAACTCTAACTGGCAGCTTGTTGGTTCAAGCGTGGTATATATATATAAGTCAACTTACTTATGGTAACTCAGTTTGTTCCTCGGCTTTCACTGTGAAGCTTGCGAAGATCATGTTCACATATTCTTTTAACTTTTCAAAGCCGTAAACAACTCCTGCAAATGCACTTTTATACAATGTTTTCATGTATACCCATGAGTGCAGAGCTACAAAGCTCATAAAGCAAACGATCCAGAAGACAAGGGCAGCGAACCCTAAATGTGGAACGAGGATCATCAATTCCAAAACCAAGGCAAGAGTTCCAAGAAAGAGGCTAATCTTGGTTATGAATTTTGCCAAATCTGAATTAAGGTGAGCTTGTAGTATGTATGCACCGCCAATCAATAATCCGCCGTAAAGGATTAAAACAACAATAAGGATCACAAAAGTAATGTAGTATGTGTCAAATAGAGATGTCCCTCCATCTCCCTGCTTCAGTTGGAAGAACATGGCTAGCATGGCAATGACAGAAAATATATATTTGTGCATTGCCTTTGTAGAATGTTCTTTGCTTTTACTGTTACAATTAATATACATGTTATTAGCATTGCCTTTGCTTATTATATATGTTACTAAGAAAACTATGAGTAGCAAGCATTTATCAGAATAATAGATCTAGAACTCAAGCGCTAACACAGATTAAGAACTGAGTTCTTAAAGTAGTCCCATTAACTACTTCTAATAATGAGCTTTTTCTCTGGTTTACACCAATATGTAAGCGGCATGCATAAAAGTGATTTTCTGGCTGCCCAGTGGCCCCATGCCCTCATTCCTCTAGGGAATTGCAAGGAGTTCAAGACACTACATGAGGGTTGATTAAGATGAGGAAAAATACTGACAATTAGTTATTGACCTAAAGAAAAAAGTTGTTGACTATTTGCATTTTCTCTCTACTCTCTCTCTATTCACAAGTCTAATCATCACCTCTCTCTCCACTCCACTGTATCCCTTTTTTCGGTCAACATCCCCCTCTCCCTCTCTCTCTCAACTTCACAAGTCTAAAAAAGTAACTTTCAATTCTCTCCTACTCTCTCTCTCTCTCTTCTCTCTCAACTTCACAAGTCTAAAAAAGTAACTTTCAATTCTCTCCTACTCTTTCATCTCCGTCTCCCTCTATTTTGTCATAAAATCAACTTTTAATTCTCTCCACCCTCTTCACCCTCCCTCTCTTTTCTCAAAAGAAGCAACTTTTAATTCCTTTCTTCTCTCTCTTCACCCTATCTTCTCTCCATATGATTGGTGATTATTGTAAGAGTATCGATGATGATGATATTGCCAAGTGTCAACAGATCAATGAGTAAGCTGTTAGAATGTGGTTAGCAAAGTGAGTAGGCAGCTAATACTGTAGTTAGGGTGATATAAAGATTGTAATATGCTTTGTTATAGCTTAACGAAATACAGAAACCTACAATTCCTTCTCTGAAATTCTCTCTGCTTCTACAGTTTCAAAACTCTATTCTTCAATTTCTCTTCATCTTAACAATTATACATCTTAAAATCATTTGGGCAATAAGCAATTTTGGATCTCAACTTAGGAATCAATCTTGGAGCTTAAAATTTAACTTAAAATTCTTGGATATGTACTCCTTACCTTGGGAAACTTCAATTTACAATGTGTATTAATTATTTTTTTAAGAATTTAATTTAATTTATAATTTAAAATGCAATCTTAGTCATTAAAAGCTCCTTAATCTGATGGTTGAAAAAAATGTGTCTCAATGAGTGTAAAAAAAATGTGGCTGTCGACCAAGAGTCAATTTGAGCTACAACTGAAATAAAGCAAAAATAGTTTATTTTGTACAGATACCGGATGCTGCTAGCTAGGGATTGTTTAAGAGTTTCATTGTTTAATTAGCAAAGTTTAGTTTCAGACCTTAACAGAAGAAAAATAAGAAGCATGCATGGTGTTTAGCATTAGTTCATATTAGTTGGGCTAATAAATGGAATGAGAGAAAAAGATTAAACGCATTTCTCAAGTTATTTGGTTGACCCATAGGTGCTCGAGGAGAAGCAAACATTCTGACAGAAGAAAAAAAATAATTGCTGCAAACAAATTGAATGAATGAAAGGCAAAGTAGTAATAGTGTGTATGTAGACTTACGCCTCTGAATGTAGAGGGTAGCTAACAGGAATGCTTATTTGGTGGTCCATCCGGCGCACGACCGCCTCAATCTGCAGAAGAAAAAAAGAAGAAACAGAATTCAGATTGGAGGTTCATGCATTAACGTTACTCTGAATGTTGGAAACACTCGGCCGTGGCCGACGTGAAATCCACCAGCATTTTGTTTATCAAAAAGTGAAAACGCCACATTTGTTCAGAACAGCCACCATGGCCGGTCATGAATTTTATAAGGACCTGCACGAAAGTTTAAATCGTGCTCCTATAGACACACTAATTACTAAAACTGCAAAACCATATTTTTTATTAACTAATAAATTTCATTTGTTATAACAAATATTATTTTTTAAAGAAATATTTATCCAGAAATCCTCTTAGAGCTTGAGATATCTCTTATTCCCTTTGTTTTTTGTTTTTTTTTGTTTTTGTTTTTTTTTGTATTTTTAGAGAGTTATTCCTTAGGAAATTATTTAACTTTAATACTAAATTGAATCAATAACAATAAAAATCTGATTAAAAGAACACAGCCAGAAGCAATATTGATAAAGCAACCAAAATATCAAACATGAAAGATTGAACTGTTAATAAATCAACTACTAAAAAAGGAACAATGAAACTTCCAAAATTCTGCACATAAAATAACAACACCAACAAAAAACTGAATAAAAAGATCAAATCTTCATCTGCATAATCACAAATAGGAAGAATTACCAATTCAATCCAGTAAAATTTAGTAAAAATAATGACACTAATTATAAATTCACATCAACATAATCAAATAAAAAAAATTAAGGATTTGATTAGAGGTAAAAGAAGAGAGAAAATTGGAGAAGAATAGATGATAACAGGAATAATATATCTACTACTAAAAAAGGAACAATGAAACCTGGATTTTTAAACTTTTTTTTCTTTATTTGAAACTTCCAAAATTCTACAGATAAAATAACAACAACAAAAAACTGAATAAAAAGATCAAATCTTCATCTGCGTGATCACAAATAGGAAATTACCAATTCAATCAAGTAATTTAGTAAAAATAATGTCACTAATTATAAATTTACATCAACATAATCAAATAAAAAAATTAAGGATTTTGATTAGAGGTAAAGGAAGAGAGAAATTGGAGAAGACTAGATGATGATAGATGAAGAAAGAAAAAGAGAGATAATAAGAATAATATATCTTCTTCATGTGAATAAATTATTTCAAAACTAAGAGGCCATTGAAGAATAAGCCAAGGACATGATGACTGCTACAAATGAGAATGATTTGGATGCAAGCAAAGATGATCTTGCTTTTGGTGAAAATATTAAAGTCAAATTCAAACAGAAAAGGAGTAGGAGGGCATCGATAGCACTTCTTGCTGAAATGTTTCTTTTTCTCCTTGGCGCTTAAAAGTTTAACGTATCATACGTGGAGTGTTTTTTTTTCCTATACGTGTTTACTCTTCTTTATATATTTATTTCTTTTTTTTGCATATACATATGAGCTGAGGAGAAATTTTTGTGCCCGGCCCTGACAACCACCGTGCAGTTTTTCGCGAGCCAGAAAAAATGGAAGTGAAAAATTGCCTTACTCTTTTAAGTCTCAAGGTTGTATAGAATGCCCTTCGCCCCGTACGTACGGATATGGGTGTGGCTGTGATGGTTGGGTAGTTTTTTGGCGTAAGCTTATCTACAAGAGCTTGTCTTGGAGAGCTTGTAGGGTGTGTTGGAGAGCTTCTAAGGTGTCTTGTACATATGGTGGTGGAGGGGGCTGTCGAGAAAGAGAAGAAGCAAAAAGTTGTGGTGGTCACTGGAGGAGAGGTGACCGGCGAGCTGCTAGGAGGGTTGGGGACCTTATTTTTTATTTTTTATTTTTTTATCAGACGGAGGGTTGGGAACTTGGGATGCAGAGGGAGGGAGGGAGAGGGAGAGAGAGAGAGAGAGAGAGAGAGAGAGAGAGAGAGGATCAAAGACAACGGACGCTGATTGGGGACTTTATTTGTTATTCTTTGGTACAGAAAAAAGTAGACTACATGACAGGTAATCTGTAAACATTTTCTTGGTCAAGAAGACGACAAAACAACTCAAGTGTTCTTTAGATACAGGTCGAATTTTGAGCCCAGCCAAGCCAAGTATGCAAAACCTTTGCCACTGTTTTTCAAAAAATTACACATATTGCCATTGTAATACCTACTCATGGTCAATTCCCAAAGTTGTAGTAATTACTGCAATCAATAAATATCACATTTCTACAGTTATTAATTCTAAATTTATACAGCCATGGCCCTTTATTTGAATATAAAATCATCAAAAGCCTTCAACTATTGCACTTTACTTTACTCTTGTAAACATCTCAGGGAACGTTGTACAGAATAAAATTCCCTTCCCTTCGTACGTACGGACGGAAAAGTAAAATTCACTGCTGCGACTGCTAGTGTTTGATGTTGTGCAGGTTCGGTGTTGTTTCTGATGCGTATGCAAAACTGTGCACGTAACTTTGGCTTTAGCGCACGTTCGTTGAAGAAATACCAATGTTTTCAAAGGTATGCGTAGGTGCACGTCGGAGCGCGCATCGGAGCGAGGCTGTAGCAAATCGCCTTAGGCGTCTGCTTGTTTAGCCGTTTGCAAGCTTAGCGTTCGCGTCGACGGCAAGGCGTAGGGAGGCATTGTGAAGCGCCGCTTTGTGGGTCGGCGAAGCTCATCTGCGCGAGGAAGAAGACAACTGCGCGTATCTTTTTTAGGCTTTTTTTTTCCCAATGGAACGGCGTCGTTACATAGTCCAAACTAAGTCGAACGCCTCGTTTTGATTTTAAAGCATCCCTTTTAAGAGGAACATACGTTTAATAAGCATCCAAATCACTTTTTCGTTTTTATTTGTTTAATAATATATTTAACATACAGACCTATAACTAACTCTTTTTTTTTGGGCCTAACCTATATGTATATCCCTAATGCCATACTTCCCTTTTTTTTCCTTCTAAATAAATACATTAATGGAACTATATGTATATCCCTAATACGATAATGTACATTAATTTTATTTCTCTCCATAAGTTGAAGCCTCTCTCTTTTTCGGTATGTAATTCTCTTATTCATATATATATATTGTTTTTTTTTCCCAAACAACACAATATACTAAAAATAACACTCAAGTCCACACATAAATACCAAATATCATAGCATTAGATGTTTCGTGATGAGAAGTGGGATGCATGAATTGAGTTTTATTTTTGTTTTTTATTTTTATGTTGAATAAGTATTTTATGTTTTGACATTGATTATTATGCTTAAATGACAATTAATACTCATATTTGATAGAATAGTTTGACTCAATAAGAATTAGTAGTACAATTTATCTATATTGTATTATTTTATATATTTTTTATTAAATTAAATTAATATTCAAAAGACTTATACTTCACTGCTTCAAGACTTATGCCTCGCATAACAAACTAAAAACACCTCTTCTCTGCGCCGCCTCGCCTTTTGAGAAATACTAGCAATCTATAATTTAAGTCATTGATTGACCACCGCAATGTCCACCAATGCTACAGTACCACGTCTCTGCGCGACCGAAAGGTTCTCGTTTCCGACATTAAACAAATAACTATCGGACAAAACAAAAATTAAGAATCCACCTTGACAAGGCTATATTTTTTTTTCTTTTTTTTGTTCTTCTCAGATTGACAAAGCTGTCTTTTTTAAGGCTTTACTCTGTTTTGACGAAGTACTAAACCTGCAGTGAGTTTACTCTTTCCCACCACAGTGAGTCGTTGGGTCCAAGATGAGGTTCAGAGGAGAACAGATGGAAAAATCAATCTCAAGTATTGGAACCATCACAACTCTATAAGCTTTGATTTGGGCAGTACCGCGCTCCTGCATCTAGTTCAACAAATTCTTCTGATTAATCATACAAGTTCACTCAGAATACAGGAATGAATAAACTAAGGATAACTCAAATTTGGTATACCACATACAATGACAACTCCACGGCTTTGAAAACCCCAGGGAAAGAACCATGTTTTTAGCTCTAAAACTTAAATGCCCTTCTGAATCTCGATGGAAGGGATGGCTCTCCCCGCTTATTTTTGAGGAACAGGACAACTATTTCTTTGCCAAGGTGGACGCGATGTCCTCGTACCCCAACCTGCATGACTTCTTTCCTCAAGTCCCTGCAGCTCTCCTCCTATTTCGATTCCTCAATTTGGGGCTGGCTAACTGCAACTACAGTAGTAAAGGGAGCAGAGGTTCCCATACGCTTCCTCCCCCTTCCTACCCTTACCGCTCGTACCGGCATTTCTCAGTGTCAAACTTGACTGCTAACTCCCACCAGTTTCTCTAATCAACCCCTTCCATTAACTGAAGATCCTCAGTCACCTCATTTCTTGCCAGAGAAGCAAGACCTGGAAGTCCTTTCGTTGCCTGACCTCCTCGCCTGACTTCTCTACCTTCGTTTCCACCAAATTTAAGTCATGTGCTCAAGGAAACCCATCACATCATCTTCATCATGGGCAGTTCGCTTAACTTCTGAGACATTCTCACTGTCAAGATTTCCTTCATGTTAAGAAATTAATTCTGCAAACCAAGGAAGGGAGTCATTTTCTGAAGCATCCATTTCGTGAAAGGTGGCACTTTCTTGAAGATGATGTGCAGCACTACTCTGCATATCATGACCTTGGGATGATGAGATGGAAACTAGAGCCTCAGCCGCAACTCTGATAAGGCCGTCATGAGGTAAGTCAAGATGTTCCTTACATTTTGTTTGCATAGAATCTACCCCAACTAAATCTGTTTCAACTATATATCACTGGTGCCTTCAAATCAATCACAGTTTCGGTACTCGTAATTGGAGAAGCGGCAATCATTTCAGTTTCTTCTTCAGTTACGCATCTATTTAAATCTATTGGTGTCTCAAATCAGCATTGACATTAGACAATCTCTTTTCTAGAACCAGACCATCTGCTTTCAGTTGCACTGTACACGTGTGACACTTGAGCCTTTAGACTGGGAGTTGATGGTATCGAATTACAATCTACAAACAATATGTCCCTGATAACTTCAGCGCTTTGCTGCAACATGATCGAAGCCTTGTTATTTATATCTATAAATAAATGATCAATAGAATTGAGTAATCAGTAAATCAAATGAGTCACAAAATTAATCAACAAAAGGCTTATTCCGAGCACATAATATGAGTTAAATTTAAATTATTATCAAAGTGAAATTTAAAATGATGTGTAAAGACAAGTGAGTAAATGGATGAAGTTTGAGAGTGAGGGCCTATGTCGCTCTTTACTGACATCCAGGAAATTTAAGGGCCATTTTCGTTTTTGGTCAAGATCTAAGCCCCATCGTTAAATTGTTAATCATACATTAATCGCGGATATGACACTTGCATCAATGTTTACAACCCAATGTGCTGGGGTCCACATAAGATAAGTAGGAGAGATAAAAGCTGGTGGGGTGGAAGAAATTTAGAAATTGACTGAACTTTGGGGTCCACCTCCTGTTATTGAACTCCTCCTCCAACGACTATAATTTTAACTTCATCCGCTTGTGAGGTCCAGCATTCGATTATCCGCTTGTAAAAAACACCTTCTTGGGAGAGCTTTACCAAACAGTTCCCGACTCTGAGTGGCAGCACACTTTGCCACCATTTTACTTACCCAAAAAGAAAAAAAAAAGTAGCTTTCAGTAATCAATGAAGTGAAATTCCTAGTATGTCATTTCCAAGTTTTACAAACTTAGCTTTCATTGTTTTTTTTTGTTTTTTTGGTGTGGGTTTCTTGGTCAAATAGCTTTCATTGATCTTGGAAAGCCCTTTCCAAGTTTTACAAAGCTTTCAGCAAGCATATTTTGTAAGCTTTCATTGTTCTTGGAAAGCGTTTTTCCAAACTGAGCTTTCAGCAAACACGGAAGTGGAAATCCTAGTATGCCCTTTCCAAGTTTTTCCAAACCGAGCTTTCAGCATACAAGGAAGTTTCTTACTGAGCCCAAAAAAAAGCAAAAGCTAACAAGGAAGTGAAATTCCTACTATGTCATTTCCAAATTCCAACGAAGTGAAATTCCTACAAACTGAGCTTTCGGCAAACAGTAAACAATGAAGTGAAATTCCTAGTATTTCCTTCCAAATTTTGCAAACTTTGCTTTGTTTTTTGTTTTTGTTTTTAAATAAATATACTAACTAGCTTTCGTTTCGACTAGTGGGTGTACATTTTTCCCTAATCAAAATCAACCAAGTAAATAAAATTTAGAAAATAAAGTGGGTGTACATCCACTTTATATTTTCACTAAAATATATGTCTAAGAATTGGGCCTCCCTGCAGAAATGAACCACCACCAGTAAATAATAAAAACTCCCATTGTGTTAAGGTAGCCCATTCTGATTTGGGGCCTGGGAGTCTTCAGTCAAGCGGAGGCCCGCCTAGCTAGCATGGTGAGGAGGAGAAAGAAAATGCATTTGTGAAATGCCCCTAAACAACTGGCACCACCGTTCTCCTCCCTCCCCATCAAGGACGGAACAACGTGTAAGCTCTACTTGAATTTTGCATTTACTTCCTTAGCTACTTGAAAACTTGGAATCTCCTTTTGTTAACGCCTTTCTTTTAAATTATGTTTGTCCTTGTGTATATTGGCTCTCTATCATCTTGGAATAAGACCATGGCAACAACGTAAAAAGACCCATTCTAAGCACAATTTGGGGCAAAGCACAAAGACGAGGAATGCATAAATCCAACTAAAAATATGTGTAATATCATATGAGTCAAATTTAAATTATCAAAATCAAAATAACAAGCCACTCAAGTCTTGGTGGTGCTGCTCATATGGAACTTATTACATACAGAACACACACCAAGACAAGATTTGAAGCTTAGTTGGAGTTGCAGCTTGTTGTTTCAAGCGTGGCATGCATATGTAACTTACTTAGGGCAACCCGGCTTGCTCCTCGGGTTTCATTGTGAAGCAAGCAATGATCATGTTCAAATATTCTTTTTAGTTTTTCAAAGGCCTGAAAAATTCTTGCAACTCCACTTTTATACAATGTTTCCACATATAGGCACGCGTACTCACCTACAAAGCTAACAAACCAAACGATCCAGAAGAAGAGGGCGGCTAACCCTAAATCCGGGACAAGGATCACCAATTCCAAAACCACGGAAACAAGTCCAAAAAGGAGGCTAATATTGCTCATGAATTTTTCTAAATCCAAATTAAGGTGAGCTTGGCTTATATATGTAGTGCCAATTAATGACCTACCATAAATGACGAGAGCAACAATGAGGATCACAACAGTCAGGTAGTCTGTGTTAAATAGAGATGTCGCTCCAACTCCCTGCTTCAATTGGAAGAGCACACCTAGCATGGTGATGAGAGAAAATATATATTTGTGCAATGCCTTTGTGGAACATTATTTGCTTGTGCTGTTATGATTAAAGAAAGAGTAATATTACACTTACCACATTTGTATACCATATTCTCATACCACCTTATGTGGCAGATGAAGTGGACAACCACATCAATTAAAAGTGTCAATAAATCATAAAAGAAAAGAAAATGTTAATTAATTTAATTGATGTGGTTGTCCACCTCATCTGCCATATAAGTGGTATGAGAATGTGGTATATTAAAAGTGTCAATAAATCATAAAAGAAAAGAAAATGTTAAATTAATTTAATTGATGTGGTTGTCCACCTCAACATGAAAATGACATTGAAATAAGTATGATTATGCATATATATGTGTGTGTGTGTGTAATGTTGTAATTATTAAGAAAAACTATGAGTAATATTTATGCGAATTCAATAATAATAGATCATTGCTACAAGGTAATTAAGCCAAAGATTCCTCTCCTACTTGCTATTTTATTCCGTGTTAGTGAATCATATGGACTCTCTGAAAGAAAGAAAGAGATGCAAAGAAAAGAAACAAAAAAGGATGAGGATACTAGGAGATTCTAAACTAGAAGGAATGATTGTCCAAACTGGAAATGGAGGGGGCCTATAAGAAAGAACTCAATCCAACATGAATAGATTTGACATAATTCTTGGGACTCGTAGCATACAATTTTATTTTGCCTATTTTTGTATCTGATTTATAGGTAGTCTTCTCATTTATGTTTCTAACTTATAAGTAACATGATTTATCACTAAGTATTTTTCGTTGCTAATAATAACACTATTTACCTGTATGTCAGGTACATAATTTAATGTAGGTGCTTGTTTGATCGATTGGTATAATATGTGGGTCTTTACTTTTTATTGATTAAATTGTATTTTATCCATATATTAGGAATATTATCAAAGAAAAATTTTAAATTTCAAATTTTAAATTTTAAAATTCAATTACAAGGAAATAATGCATTAAATTTAGATTTTCAATGTGTTTTCCTTATTTACCTCAAAGGGTAAAATCGACACAACAAAAAAGTAATAAATGTCAAAGACCTACACCTAAAACAAAAACGTGAACCCAATGACAGCTGATTGTTTTGGACATAAATCTAAGAAGCCCTTAATCTTAATGGTTGAAAAAAGAATAAAGGGAAAGAGGAATGCGATTCCAAGTGGCCAAAGAGAGTGTAAATTCAGAGTCTCCTATCGCAGCCCTCCACGTATTCATTAAAGGTTCCAATAACAATTTGAAAAATTGATTTTTCCCTGTTTACCCTCTCCTTTTCCCTTCTTTCCCTCTCCTTCCACCTTCTTCTTTTTCTCTATCCTCTCTCCGTCTTGTTCTCTATCCTAACCCAGAATTGAACAACATCTATCTTATCTTCTCATTTTCTTTCGTTTCTTCTTTACTCAATAACAAAGAAACGATTTCCTCATAGTGAACACCAAACACGAAACAAGTAGACAACTTTACATTATTTCTTTTGTTTTTACAGACCACATTCTCTTTGCTTTGGGCGACTTGAGATAGCATTCCTAAACAACAACAAAATGTGGCTGTTGACCAAGAGACAATTTGAGCTACCTACCGGTACCGGATGCAGCTAGCTGGGGGTAATTTTTCAATTAGCAAAGTTTAATTTCAGACCGTTATAAATAATGGAGAAGCACGCATGGTGTTAGCATTAGTTCAACTTCACATTTGTTGGCTAGCTAATGAAAGGAATGAGAAGAAAAAGATTAAACACATTTCTCAAGTTATTTGGCTGACCCATAGGTGCTCGAGAAGCAAAAGCGTTTCTCCAGTTGCTGCAAACAAATTGAATGAATGAAAGGCAAAGTAGTACTAGTATGTATGTAGACTTAAGCTTCTGAACGTCGAGGGTCGCCTTCAAATATGCTTTTAAAAAACGAGGTCATTAGACATCTCAAGAACACAAAGCGTGTTGCTATTACCACCCTTTGTCTTATTTTTTCGTATCCATCCACTTTATATAGAATTTTAGAACACTAAAATATAGGGCTTATGTTTCAATTTAACCATTTTACTAATAACCACTGTTTTCACCCCCCCATGATTATCAACTCGTACTTTGTTTGATTATTTGTCGTCATTTGTCACAAACATCTTTATTTCATCGCACATGTTGGAATCATGATTGAGTATATGAAGTATTACATACAATCCCACTTGTTAAATCTGTGAAGAGAAGAAAAAAAAAGCAACTTATATTCTTTTCACACGGATATAATTTTGTCATTATAACTGGATACAGTACGTAGAGAGAGGACGATAAGAAGACTTGCCTTTTCAACAAGTCTTCAATTAGAAATAGCCTAGCAATTACAGAAAGGCAATTGATAAAGGGAATGAAAT